GGCCAGTTAAATAGAGTAAGAAAACACCCTTTCCTTCTCCATTTCCATTTGAAAGTAATCCTTCCCATGCCCCAAACATTTTTTTATTTTTGTATTCAGGCTGTGCTAAAACAGAAGAATTTTTTATTGAATCCAAGTTAATGGTCACCTTTTAAAGTTAGTATCTATTTTTGAAGATGATAAACAAGTTATTTGTTGTCAATAAAAAATCGAACAAAGATTAAGAAAGAAATCAAATCAAGGGATAGGTCTTCATTTCTTTGTCTTGCTAGAGAGACAATGAGCTACTATTTTCCTTTGAAGGGCAAGGGACAAGAAGTGGTGAATATGAGCTAGTCTAGACAATTACATGGCATCTGTTTCTGGATTTGGTAATGGGAACATATCGTGGGTCTATTTTGGGGTGTTGAGCATTTCCTACAGGGTTCTGATGCTGACATTTCAGCCTGTTTTCTGGCAATACACTTCTCATTTGTCCATGTGAAAACAGTAAGTTAACATGCTATTAGAAATGTATGCCTTTTACATTTCCACAGCATTCTGCACCCTTTCAAAGGAGGATGCTCAGTATGGATGCATTTGGAGCATCGACTTCTACCGCCACTTCAAGGCAAATCTAGCAACGTCAGTTTTAAAGATCTTTTAAAAAAATGTTTTGTCATCATTTCAGGGAAATACTTCCTAAATGAAGTATGCAGAGTTGATCCAATTTGGGGGTTAATTTTGGAAGATTGGTTTGGAAAGGTTTTCTTTGTCAAATGCCATTCACTGAGTACTCTCGATATTCAATGTTTTGAGCCAGGGGCTTCTCACCTACTTCATCGCATTATCTCACCGCACCTACGAGTTATACTCTTACATTAATGGTAAGCAACAGGCTCATAGAGTTTGCTACTTGTCCACCCAAAATCTATGAACTGGACAGGTCTCAGAGTACTTTATTCAATCCCACTTCCCAATTACTTTTCTCACTTACTCCCTGTCTCTTTCACTGGGCTCTCTCAGCTCTGTCCAATAATCCAGTCCTTGGATTGTATGACATAGCGGAGAGATAGATTACAAAAACTATGCACTTCGCAGTTTCTTTCATATGCCATGTACCAAAATATGTACTGAGCAGAATGAAATTACTGTGCTGATTTCTTACATTGTTCTATGCATTATGCTGAGTTATTGTAAGCATTGGTTTCATTTTGAAGTTAAGAGAAAGTTCATGGCTGGACCAAATCTGAATGATGAGAGAAAGAGAGAGAGAGAGAGAGAAAGAGAGAGAGAGAGAGAGAGAGAGGAGAAACAGGCATACTCTTATTATGTCTTCTTATAATTTTCTGGGTAAAGGTAGCCTTTATTTATTTGATTTGGAATATGTTAATTGTTACACATTTATAGACATAAATCAGAAATCATCTTACTTTTATACCTTTCAATTATTCTCTAAGATGTGTAATTTTAGTGGTTAGTAAGGCTGAAATTTTCTCCTATAGGATAATGTCCTTATAATTCCATTTTATAAAAGAAATTTATTGGATATATTGAGTCATATCAAATATATTAATTTTTATCAATTTCTTTTTACATTTGTAATGTGGCTACTAGAAATTTGCAATTTGTAATGTAACTCACATTACATTTGTATTATATAGTTCATTGTATTGTACAATGTTGATCTAGACCAGCATCAATTCTATGAGGACCATAAAACAAGTTTGAAAATTTCTATTACAGCCTTTGCAGGAGAAAATTATTTTTCATGATTGCAATGACTTTTTTTTAAGTTTTTACATTTCTTTACCTGGCAACCACTGGTAGATGCACTTAGGCCTCCAGAAGGAAAACATGGACTTGAAGTGGTTTCCCACCTTGATCTTGCAATGTTAAAGCAGTTACATCACCTCCTAAAATGTAGGGATGCTATGGAGATTACACTCGGTCATGGGCAAAGTTGGCCTTGAAATAAATGGTACACATTATCTGTTGTAATGTTAACTGAATTGGTTCACTTTCCTCAAAGGCTACATAAACAGGATCTTTCTGTAGCAACTTGGCTAGTTGTCATCCGAAAGCAAAGAAGACAAACAAGAACCAGAGAAGCCCTACCTTTGACCCCCCAGGGCCGAAGCTGACATTACCACGGGTGCCACTCTCGCACTGCTTCGGCATTCTGTACTGAGCTCTGAAGGTCCTCAAGGGCCATGCCTAGAGGTGGCCATTCCAGACCCACTAGAGAGGGCTTTTGCCCTAAAGTGCTGGCAGGGCTATGTTATCAATGAAAGGCCACGTGAAAAGTTTCCCTTCAATATTGACTTAGGTAAAATTATGGCGTTTAGGGACATTCGATGAACTGCATGATATTTGGAGGGGAAGGAAAAATCGTGGTTACACAGTAGTGCGTAAAGAACTTGCTGATTATATGCTTTTCAGAAGATATAAACACACTACATTGCTATTTTCAAATGCATCCCACTCGTTTATGCAACTTTTATTGGCCTTTAGGTTTATGTCTTAGATTACAACTGTATTTATAATACAATAGGGTGCCAAATATAATATGGTTCCTATTAAAAGACTGCATGTATGTCACAGTTCAAATTCTGCCATTTGAAAAATTAACAGCTATACATGTGTAAAACCTGATATAGCAGAGACTAAAAGGTGCTAATTCTATTTCTTAACACCAGTAACATAAAAGATTTTCAACCTGATTCAATAAGATGGTCTCTTATTAAAACCCGTTCATAATTAATGATGCCATCTCAAGTAGAATCACAGCGGGTTATGTTTCCTTTTTTGTTGCATGATGTTTACTATGTTTATTAATAGAATCAATGTTCCCTTTTTGTAGAACCTAGTATTTTTGTGCCATGTTTTCTGTGCTTTTATCTGTTATCTTACCAATTTTCTGCAGCAGTACATCCTACCTAAGTTATCTCAACACCTTCCAGATCAGTGCTATTCAACAGAAATACAGTGTTAATATAAATAATTTAAAATTCTCTGGTGGTCACATTTAAAAATATACAAAAGAAACATGAAATTATTTGGATAATATACTTTGCTTAGGTCAAAATACTATTGCTTTAACAATATCAGTATAAAATTATTGGACAATTTTCCATTCTTTATTCATACTAAATGGTTGAAATACACTGTATATTTTACACTTACATCATATCTCAGTTCAAACTAACCATGTTAAAAGTAAAAGCTACATGTGGCTAGTGGCTAATGTTTTAGACAGCACAGATGTGGGTTACAATTGCTTATCTGCTGGAATGAGACTTTCTCTGAATCTCACTATCAGTAACAAAAATAGCTCTATCTAGGTGAGCAAAAATATTATGGTAGATAATGAATTTAATTCTATGCTGAAATAGTAGAATAACATTCTTAAGACTAGTGATTAATTAGGAATTAGCCTTGAAAACCATTGTTCTACAGAATGCTTAGGGGTCTTCTTCCCCTAATTTAAAGTATATTCACTATGTAACTCATTTTCCCCCAGCACAGTCATGAAAACCATAAATTCAGATGGTGAATAATTTTCTGGCTTTTAAAGATGATAGAAATTGCCTTTGGTAGGAAATATGATCATAAAGCAATTAAAATAATGAAAGGAGACCTTTTCCACTTATTTAATCTCTATTAAGTGAACAACAAATGAGTTTTTCTTTTCAAATGAATAAGCAAACTTTCTCATTTCTAAATGGTTTTTATAGTTACTTTGATAATAGCACACTACTCATAAAATATCACCAAAGTATATCCTACCTGTCTAATGTTATTAGTCTGAACTTTTTTTGAGGTCAATGCAACCCATATTTTGAGAAAATTGAGAGAAAATGTGACTAAATTACAAGCAACTAACAGAAAACCATGGCAGTGACCAATTCAATAACTAAACAGCATAATCGGGAAAGAAAAGAACCAAAGCATATTATGCTGATGATGTGATTATGTGAGAATTTTAGACAAAGATCTCTTCCAACACTGCTATTACTTTTTTCTATCGTAATTTCAAAAACCTTTTAATCCCTGTCTGTGCCTTCCTATGTCTAGTTAAAATGCATTTTCCCTTGTTTTCACCAAAACAGAAAAACTCAAAACTGATTTCCCAAAATCCCGGTGTATTCTCCCTTCTGCTTCCAGGCCGAGCAATGCCCATCACAGTGCTTTGGTTTTTGTTATATTATTTCTGCTTTTTTTTAAAATGTGAGTTAAACCTCTTTAAACCTTCACTGTGAGTTCTACCTCTACTTCACGAGCACAGTAAGAAGTTAGGATTTGGAATACTTCCCACACCAGCTAATAAGATCTCTTATAAGGCACTATATGCACAATGTTATTGGCACTGAAACTTGAAAGGTGATATCTCCATAAACCAATACAATTAATTTGCATATCAAAACATTCTGGAATCTCCAAACACCCTACCTAACATTTCCAGCAGCCTTTTTGTGATCACTGGTTCACTTTGCCATTTTCATCAGAAGTGACTGATGGTGATTGACTGGCATAGCAGTAGGGGAGGGGCACAGGTGGGAAGGTGAGAATTGAGTTGGGAAGGGGGGTGGGATAGGACATAGGGTGCAGGAAAGGACAAAATGTCATTTTGGGGATGTGCATTTGAATAGTAGCATTGCTTAGATCCATCGCTGACAATCCAAAATTAAGTCAACTAAGTGACAATATAGGCTCATATTTTTACCTTCCCAAATCATAAAGACAAATATTGCCTTAATGTCTCCCCAAGGAAAGAGGAAAAATAATATATCTTGGTTTGGTTTCTTTCATATTTTTTTAAATATTTAAAATTTAAAACTTCTTACACTAAAATTTAAAATGTATTTAATTTTTAAATTCATCTTTTCTATTTTCATAGACACAAATAATGTTAAAAATGATGAGTTTGAACTTTGAGAAGTATTTTTAAATGATTATGTTAAGAGTGGATACAATAAACAACAACACAAAGAGCTTCCAGTTTAATCATATTAGGAAACTGTTTTATTGACATATGTATCCATCATCACCTACAAATTTAAGGAGCACCTGCAACCATTATCTTTCCCAAAATTAGTATTATGAAACCACTACACAGATCATAGGATAAGGAACTATAAAATCATTTTTAAGTACTAAAACAGTTTAATCGTACGCATCTCACTTCTCATACTAGCCTTTTCATTGTATTGATTTGAGCACACGAACCATGAAACCCCATCAATATCAGCCTTAGTGTGGTTTTCTCCTGCAGGGTTCACAAAGCTGAGATAAAATATTTTCTATCATTACATTATGTTGGTTTGTGGATGCTGTTAGTAAAAGGATGACATAACAGCATGTTCATAAAGCAACTACACATGGAGCTTACATTCCAAAGCTCAATTTCTAGGCCACAACATATGAATCTATGTTTTTTTTATTGATAGACAGCTCAAGGCTCATTAACATTTCTATCTCAATCAAATTATAAGAGATTTATAGTCTGAAATGCAATAGAGCTCGAAAAGTAGATGGGGAGCATAAACTAAATAAATGCATCTCTAAATCTGCTTAGTCATTTTTAGATGAAAGTGTTCAACAAGGAGTAGGAAAAACATACAAAAAACTGAAGTTCACTGGATACTGTTACACAGCCACACACTGGGCGTCACTGGAGAACTTGGCTTTGTGAGGAAAAGACCCTGAGGAACCCTGAAGGCAAATACAGCGTTTTGCACATTGAAGTTACTAAGATATCACAGAATATTAACCACACAATATTAAGTTTAATAAAACCAGTCTTTCACTTTTAGAAAATATATTACTAGCACAAAATACGAAGTTGAGCTTTGAAAATATTTTTAAATAAGAAATTTTAGGCACCTCAACAAAAATTAAAATGAGTATTTTTGAGTCACCAGAATAATGGTAATGAACCAAAATAAGCATCTACCTTTGACAGTATGAGTACTGTGTATCTCAGTGGAACAAATATCCACTTGATTTAATTGATATTGAAATTTATATTTCATTCTAATTTAAATAGAATGTATATTTTCTTAACATAACTAATCTATTTAAGATGATAAAGTAAAAAAAAAAGTCCATTTTTGTTGTCTATCCTGAATTGCTTCATGTATCAATTTACCTTTGAAATATCCAATGAGAACAATCTGGTCACATAAAATTTATAAGTATTCCTTAATACTATAAACAATATCAATAAAAGTTATTTTTTTCTTGTGTGTATAGATTACAAGTGATTATTGATAACAGAAACTATCTTTAATATGTGTCATAAAATTTTAAGTGAAAAAGAAATTGGATATGCAAATTCTACTACAATATTTCAAGGATTTCTGGAGGCCATTCCACACAAACACAGGAAAGACAGCAAAACTGCTTTACAGATGGGAAATCATTCTAACAGAAAACAAAATTGTGAAATACATATAATAATACAAATTAAATACAGTACTCTAAAACCTTGTATCCAATTGGTAACATGACCAGATAGCCGTAGATCTCTTGAGAAGAAACTGGGCCATATGTTTTGAATGCTGAAGCTTGAAGGATTAGTTTGAAGGTTTTGCCTTCCTTTTTCCACTTCCCCATCCACCACTAAGTTGCACAGGATTGTCACGGAATGATATACGTTCTTTCTTAGAAGGTCTTGTATCTGTTACCGTTGGTGCAAGTATTCCCTTAATTGAATAACCTAGACAGTGAAATTAAATGTACACTTTCACTTAACTGGATCCAAATAAAGTTATAAAGTAAGAAATATGCTTATCAAAAACATGCATTTTAGAGGTATATGATCTTTGAGCTTAAAAAAAATCATATTGAGTTTCATTTCTGTTTGCCAAATAATAAAATCAAAGTCTGATGTAAATTATAATTAGGTTAAATAAAAGGAATTGACTAAAAATATTCAATAGATATGACACTTTCCTTCTTTCTGTAATATAAATGTCCCTGGTTTTTCATGATATATCTTCTTGGTCTTTTAAAAATGAAAATCTGTTAATATTTTCATACTTTAAATTTTTATAATTTTTAATATTTTCACAAATAAGAAATAGGTTAAAATTAATTTTGGAAACAGTGCAATTGAATTAAAGATTTCTTTAAAAAAAAGAATTCTTGGTAAAACAGAAAGCACAGTAGATACAGAATCTGAAGATATTCATGGATTCCAGTTTGGTTGCACAAAACAGGGCTTTGCGACTGGACAGGTCACAGTCTTTCTGAGTGTTCTCAGCTTCATAAACGAGGGAAATAATCTGTGTATCGCAGGGTTGTTGTGAAGATTGCCTTTCTAATTACACTGTAATGGTGGTAAAGTCTTTTAAAGTGCTTTGTAAACAGGTGCTATAAAATGGAAGAAATTATTACTTACAGTCAATGACTTAGAACTTATCCAGAGAAGAGTAACAAAAATTAAGAGGTTGGAAACAAATAGCAGTTGTAAGAATAGGATCATGGGTTAGGAATATTTTACTCAGCAAGACCCCAAGATGCCATATCAAAAATACTATGAAAGAATCACGATCATCTGCTTCAAGTCTCCTGAGGTTAAGCAGGCGCACTGGCCCGCACCTGTGGGCAAAGGTTTGAAAAACAACGTATCGAGGCCCTAAAGAGCTGCCTCAGGACTGGCTTGAGGCAGAGGCTCACGCTGGGGACTTTTCATTGTGAGAGTTTTGTGCTTTAAGTACGTTTTTTGGGAAAATACCTCTTTATTTTGAAATTAATACCTTTTCAGCTAAAATTTAAAGTATTTAAAAAATATATGTCCAAATGGAAAGGTTAGGAAACATTAGACCATTTGTGGAAATTGGTCTATAATTTCAAATTTGGTGAAACATGATGGTGAATATTGATTACAAAAGCCCACTTTATATTCAAAAGCTCTTTTAAAATAGTATTGCCTTTTGGCTTTTAACCTTAAAACTGGGATTTAGAAAAAAAATCCAAAGGAGTTAATGAATTCTATAAAGGGAACATATTTTACTTTCAGACTACAAAGAGAACATTTCCTACTAAAAGGCAGGGAAAAAATGCTATGATTTTAGGAAAGGGTATGCTAAGCACAGAGAGGTTACCGCCAGTGGCTGTAGTCACAAGTCTGTGATGGAGTCAGAGGCAGAACAGAGCTCCGGGGTTTGGGCACCTTCACGGCTGGCACTAGTGTCCATCTCGGCAGACGGACAAACACCTAAGAGATGCCAAATGCACTTGGCTTCCACGTGCCGGTCAGATTCTGCTGCATTAAGCGACTCCCTGTCAGGCAGTCGGTAACCTTTGCGAAACTGCAAGAACTCTTCCAAGCAACAGGAATGCACTGGGGCATAAAAGCAGGAATTTCCTCGTGATAAAACAGTGGCCTAACAAATGCAAGGACGCATCCTAAAGACTTACCCTCTATTTACCAGTTACATTTTGAAAAAAAATACATTGATAGTAACTACAAACTTTCGCCTTTCCCCAGCGATAGAAACTCTGATAAACATTTCCTGGATAGCAAATACATGTTTATGAGAACATGTTATTCAGGAAGAATGCTGGGGTGGGACGGGTGAGGCATCAGGGAGGTGTGAGAACTGGAGAGCTACTGGGGCACACTTACACGTCAGGTATATTTAATTAAAATAAAAACAACTTTTTAAAATAAGAGATAATAAAAAGAGTAAGTGGATTTCCTCAAACGACTAGCACACATGTTCTGTTCCAATGGAGAGCCCTAAATCAAGTTCCTTGTAAACATTATTCAAGATAAGAAGTAGAGATAGTGTGTATTTAAAAATATAATTCAACAACATAGTTCATTATTGGTTAATATTTTTGGTGATGCTATCTTAAAGGTATAAAGATGCATTGTTCAATGCACTTGTTCTTAATATAAGCTTTTTATCAAAGATGGCAAATAATATGTAAGAAGGGTAGCCCTTTCTGTACAAAGCCTTGGAATATTTATAGATAATTTCACATACGCCTAAAATAATGACTTCAAAATGAAATGAATTGCATTAAAACATAGCTTATTGTTAGACCAAATTCTCCTTCTTAATGTTTCTGCACTTGAAAAGATTTTTCTATTGATCATAAATTTACCGTATGGTAGAATTCTCTTTCCTAAAATTGTTCTGTTGTCTTTATTTTGAAGCTGCTGATGAATCTTCAAGTCTTTTTGTACTTATCCACAGTGTAACCCTATATTTAAAAGGCAATTTATGTACTTCTCATTGTTTACTGTAATTCCTTCAGCAACTATTATAATTAAAAAATGTATTGTGTGGTATTATAAGATAGCTGTATGCAATTCTGAAGCATATTTTTGGTGGAATGAAAATGCTATAGGAAATTGTCTTTAAAATTACATGAATACTTATGTGAACATATATTTTTTAAAACAATAGTTTGGATGTGTTTAAAAGCTTGCATTTTGTTTTGCTATGTGTAAGTAAACAATTGAAAAAGTAATCAATACAGCTTATTCTCTCATTGCATTTAGTGAGAGTGTTTTTGTTATCACATAAATTCTTGAACAATCAACTATATAGAAAACAAATTGAAGACTGAAACAACACATCTATGAAGGAGCCACATACTGGCATTCATTGCAAAACTATTATTTTGTCCTATAATTTATCTAGAAATGAAAAAAAATAATGAAGCAATTTAATAGTCAATGTATAATTATTCTAAAATTACTTACCCACATGAAAATACAATAATGACAGAATCTTGCCTCAAAAAATTGATATTAGAGTTAGACCTACTGATGGGTTCCTGGAATAAAAAATTATGACTAAAGGTCCCCTGATAGTTTTTTTCTCTTTCCTGCAACATTATTGTTATAGATTTTATACTTTTTAAATAACAGTCTGCTGTATATTTGCAGGTGATCATACAAATCGACCTATCAGTCTCTTACATATATACTGAAAGTATGTCTTGATAAATATGCTCTATCTTCCAATCAGTCACTTTTTGCCATATAATCTGTGTTCTGCTAAAGATTTGTTCTGGTCCTTAATTTTTTTTTTTGTTTAAATCCTTGGTTCTTTAACAAATGTCAAGGTCTATATATGCTGTGTTTTGATAAGTAATTCAATATGTAAAATGCTTTGAATGACTCTCCTGGTATGTATAAAAAAAACTTTGTTGAACAGGTCAAAATAGAAATTTCATGATGTATAGGAATACGTCATTGGATTTTCATTGATACACTCAACACTATGTGTCTGGAGAGAGAAATCATTTCAAAGTCCTTCCCATATTGTATTGCTTAACAGCAGATACAGCATAAGAGCAGCATGGAACAAAAAAAATTCAACATTTTAATGAAACTGACCAGAACAAATTTTTAGCAGCAAAGCGTTTACATCAATTTAAGTGTTGTGAATGAGTTACACTGGGTAAGTTTGAGGTTGAGGTAGATATCACAGTGCTCAAATAACATTTGCTTTATAAGGCCACTGCCATGCCGAACCTTGAATTGTAATGATCATTTGCAGTGAACTTCAGGTAGACAGTTTGAAGTCTAACACTGAGACTGAGAATAAAACAAATAACAAACAGGTTCTTTATATCATATTTGGACTTACTGAATGTAATGTGGTGATTTTGCTTGTTTTCAAAATTGTTTTCAAACTTTTTCAGTGAATAAAAGCTTTTCTAACTATAAAAATATGAATAAAATTTGTTTCCTGGAATCCCAACAGGATAATGACATTTAGTTATTCTTCCTACCCAATATTTGAGACATAAGAAAAAAAGCAAACAGGTTTGGTACTTTTGATAGTCACAAAAATATCCCTAGTATTTATTATTGTTGCTAAAAGTCATGATCCCTATTATTTCTTTTAAAATTTACATGTGACACATATAATTGTTTTATGTACATTTATTTTGAAAAAAATAAAAAACCAATTAGCATAACAGCTAATACATAGCATATAGGGTGAAAAGTCTTATTTTAATAAATATTGTTAAAGATTTGTACTTTTGTATTTTGCCTATTTCTTGATCTCCTATGAAAGTTACCATTCATAATTGATCTCAAATCTTTCAAGCCTCCCTTTTATGTGCACTGTTTTCCCAGGTTTTATTATTTTTAGCACATTACTCTGTTGATTTCTTCTTAAAGCTACCTGTGGCTAGGTCTGCATATACAAGGATTGCTAGAACGTGTTAAAAATATTGTCTTGTTTCTATAAATTCTGTGGCTCATACTAATATTCAACATTATTTTCATTTTTTTATCCAGAAGAACTGTCTTTTGAGTTGTAAAATCTAAGTAGGTTTTGTAATTTTTTTTTTTGGAACTAAATTTGTCTTCTGTTATGTGGCCCTTAAAATTAACTGAAACTTTTCTTTCCATACATAGCTATTCTATGTAACTCTGGATTTGAAGTTTCCTGGCTTCCTACCCAAGTAGTAGATACTTAGTATTTAAACATCTAAATTGACTAGGTAATAAAGAGCATAACTCAAGAAGGAGTTAAGGGTAAAATTTAAAAATCTATAAGCTATCTAGGCATCCATCTTCCACAGCACATAGTTGGTTCTAAAATACTGTTATTCTTGTCAGTTCAGGGAACGTCTGTTCCCAACTTCTTCAATCACTTTTTAAAAATGTTCTCTTCAGGACTCCAGTTAGTTTTCATTATATTTACAACTAAGTGTCCATAAATATTATAATTAATTAAT